GCTGAACGATTAGCTGAATTGAATACGGCTGAGCCAAAATCAGCTAGATAGTTTTCGGAACTATGCGTTATTCAATATAGCTAGCCGTAATGTTACACAGTGGTCATTATGCCTAATTTATAATTACAAAATTTAACACGCCCGGCGCTGGTTAACGTAATAATATTGTTTTCTTATTGGGTCTTGTACTCGTGGTTTTCATTCAGGGCAATAAAACTGATATTGCTGTCAAAATGTAGATTTGACAGACAGTTTTATTTACTTTTCGTCATGGGTATCATATTCGTGGTTTTCTAGGGAGGTAAAATCGATGGTACTCTCTAAATGTAAATCCAAGATTTCGGCTGCGGGAAATTTTCAAATGTTTCACGTATCGAAATTTTCAACTAGAAAGAAATTCTAAATTTATGCAGCAGCCGTCATGGATTTATTTTGAAAATACCATCGGTTTTACCACCCTCAAAAACCACGAAAACTACACCCATGACGATTATGTTGATAACTTTGTATAACCGCCATCTTGGAATAACGTTTCAATTTAATACTACAAAATATGATAATGGTCACCCAGACCATCCATTGTCGTCGGGGATCGCGGGATGATCTCCGGCCCACCGTAAGCACGGGCCTGCGGACGGCGAGCCATGGGTAGCTCGCCGTCCGACCAGAACCAGACCCGAGCGTACGGAGCGTCACGCCGACCACCACGGATCGGGCCCAACAGGGCTGATGGCAATATGGAGCCGCGGAGGACTTAACGGGTTACCGGGGCTCCGGCTCGAAGGGCAGGAGTAGGAACAGGGTGGTTTTTAGTTAGTAAGAGTGACACTCCATCCCGCCTCACCCGGGCGGTGGAAGTCATTCGATGATTAATATAATACGGAGGATTACACCATTCACCGGCAACATAAATGTTAGATACATACCAAAAATATCATTTTTACAATTTTGGTCTGTCTTGTCTGTGCAGATTTTGCAAGGCGTTTATTGGCGGGTAGCTGATATACTAAGAAGTAACATAGGCTAATTTTATTTAGAAAAATTTAAACACAGTAAAGATATGTTGTTAAATTCATATTTTACGCGGACGAAGTGAAGGGCAACAGCTAGTTAACAAAATATTTTTGAAAGCATTTATCTATTCTATAAAGGTTATTACATTAATAGATATCAAAGAACAACTAAAATGTATACTAGCAATACTTAACTTTATTTTAGCAGCGCATATTATTAGTTTGAAAATGAAACATTACACATAAAACATTTGAGGTATTCAAATAAGGGTTTGTCAATTATAATTGTAATGGTACTAACTGTCATAGACCAATAACATATTTTGGTTCGTGTTAACAACTATTTGAGCTGACTGTACATTGATTTTATATCGTCTATTACCGGTTCCTTTGGTGCCCTACGTGTTGCTCACACGAAGCAGCCGTGATGAAAAGAAGACTTGTAACTACTTCCATTCATTTTTCAATGAAAATAACTAAAACGAAAATCAAACGATAATTTTTTTTGGTTTCGTCGATATGACATTAAACGTCCAAAGACTGTCAAAATAAAACTTTCTTTCGTTGTATGCAGATGAAGTAGGGTTCCGAAATGTTAAACGTCAAACAGTACATCTCATGCTAATTTCGGCTTATTTCATTCATTTTTCGTTCATAATAATAAATGGCATTGTGGTAGAAATTCTGCGAAGTTTCGGACTAAACTTCGTGTTTCGTCGAATCAGAGTAGACCTACTGATTTCAGTAGGTATTTAGTTGCCTAGTTACGTGTTGTCACCAAGACTAGTCAGTTGATGCTTTTGGGACTATTCAAGATTCTTGACTTTGTCCTTAGGCTACTTCATTATTGTATGTACACAGTACTGATCTTTAGATCCAACCTTATTAAGCATCGATGTTTATTCTCAATATTTCAATGCTGTTAAACTTTTAGAAAGTTGCTTCGAGTCGGGCAATGTTTAAGGTAGTAGTATAAAAGTTTGACATTTAAAATGTAATATATTCATGTTCTCGGTATTGGAAGTTCATAACTTCAAAGCGGAATGTATTTCTGGCTATGCATCTCTACTCATAGTCCATTCACATCTGCATTAGTAAAAAGAAGTTCATAGAAGTAATTCAATTTTATTTCATAATATTAATGAATTAAATTAAATTTAAATTTCATAAATAATAATTTCAATTTGGAACAGAAAGCGATCTGTACTTAGATTTTGATAAAATTGACTTTGGAACTGTATGTTGGCGACTTGTATGCCATTAAAGAAAAAAAGTAAGAACTGATAAAAGACCGCAAGAAACGTGCTAGTTTAGTAATTAGGTAGTTCTGACTGGAATGTTTTCTGGGAATGTTAAAAATTGGCAATTTTGGAAATCGATTCATTTTCGTTTAAAAATTACGGCTATGACAAATCGATGGTGACCAAGACGAAGTCGCCTATGTGATATTTGGAAGTGTGTATCACAATCATAAGCACTAGGTAGGCCTGTAGCATTTGTATGTTTATGATTACACTAAAAATACGTGCCGCTTGCTCTACCTTCGACTGTAGTGTGGAAGTTAATTTTCTTCTAAATATTCACTGAGATGTACTTGTAAAGCAAGTAGTGTAATTCTGTAGTAAAATGTGCAATGCATTCTAATGTCTCTTTTAAGAGACATTGTAAAAAACTGATTTACCCGCCATTTTTCCAAGATTGTAAAATGGGAATCGGAAAAGCACATCTATGTCATGAAGCGATGAAAATTGGATAAAGTACGGACACAAAACGTTCACATACCTACCTACCTACTTGAAACCTTCTTGAAACTAAAATGTCACTTTTATTACAAAGTGTACCCCAAAAAGAAACATTTTTACTTCTGTCTAATGCTGCTGTGAATACAGTATAGTTTTTGCAGGGTTATGATTAGCGATATTTAGGTGCGAAGATGTAAAATGAAAACGTACAGGCAACTTGTGCCAGTTGGTACTTAGTTCAAAGTTAGTTATTTAATACACGCTTCCCTGACACATGTAGATTTTTATTTCATTTCACTTCAAAGCTATACATTGCGAACTATTTAATAAATAGCTTTTGACTGAATAGAAGTTTCTGTAGCAATAGATACAGAAACTTAGGCGAAGTGACATATTATACGATTTAATTAAGAACTCTATAAGTAAGTACTAACTGGTTACCCACATATCGGGGCTATCACATAACCAAAAAAAGTAAAGCATGAAAGTCTAATTAATGTTTTAAAAATAGTAGTTATTTTGACTGACCACATCTGTCCAAAATTATAATTACAGATGCTAAAACTAAAGTAATTTCTTGGCATTAATTGATTTCGTATTTCCTTTAAAAATGCATCTCGCAATAACGAGATTGTTTAAGAGCAATATTTTAAGAACACCGATGACTTAATAGCATTTATATTCACACAGTGCACTTTTAAAAGGACCTCCGACATTGCTCAAAGCCGACGGCAATTTTATAAGATGTAACATTTGAAATGGCCTTTATAAAGGAACCAACTCCGGTAATTGAATTTATGAAGGACGTCGCGGTCTTGCAACTTTGTCGATTTCATCATATCAAGATTTATTTCACCAATACGTATAATAAATATATATATATATATATATATAAGTACATGAGCTTACACTAACTAGACTAAGCGATATTCGTTACGGTGTTTTTACGCCTCATTAACCAATGAATATGTTAAAACGACGTCCTTATAACTAATTAGTTACACGGTACACGTGTAAAATATTATCTCAAGGAAATTATATCCTGAATTTCTGGAAACAATGTAGACAGATAATGAAGTTATCATAGTCAGCGGCTACACGCGCGAGTAGGGTACCTAGATGGCTATTTTTATATTTTTATGTCCGTCTGGTAGATTATTTAAAAAAAACACGTATATTTTATTTTTTTACGGAAACCAATAGTTTCGATATATTGATTTGAAATATCGCATGACGTTACTTTTCAATACGATTTATACTCTAAAATGACGTACGACGACGTACTACCTCCCACTCCTGAGTGCCAAGCACGAATAACTATCGCATTCGTAACGTAATAGTATCGAGGGCGTTCGGCGCTCTGATTGGCCGGCTCAAGTGAACCAACCAATCAGAAAGCTTAACTTGAATGCGATAGTTATTCGTGCTTGGCCCTCTGAACTTTGATTTGTTTTATCTAAATATTTTTGTCTTATACGACCAAATAAAAAATATGTGTCTAATATTTTTTCATGACTTGACATGATTCATGATGGACTAATTATTTTTTTTAATTTTTATACCCTGTCATCATCCCTATTAAACGTCGCGGTTAAAAGTCGCCAAGTTAATTAGCTCTGTAGTCTATTCACAATATCATTAGACAGAAGTAAAAAAAGCTTATTATTAGGTTAATTACACTTTGTAATAAAAGTGATATACTAGTTTCAAGAATGTTTCAAGTAAAAGTAAGTAGGTATTTGAACTTTTTGTGTCCATATTATATCTTATGTTCATAGCTTCATGGCATAGTTCGATCATTAGGGCGGAAATGTGGACACAACCTCGAAAGATTTCCGGGAGTGTTGAAAATTGGCAAGGCAGACTTTGAGCGATTATAAAATAAGTAGATTTGGCGCCAGAGCACCGCAAAGTACCTCTCAGTGAGCATTTATAGGAAAATTAATTGCTACACCACGTAAAGGTACAGGTTTTTTTAGTGTTTATATTTATACTTGATAGGCCATATGAACGTTAATGATGTTGTGCACGCCTACTTCTATGAACCTCTTTTTTCTAATACAGAAGTGAAAGCACTATAGGTATGTTTTATACCTCTACAATTCAAAGAGTTTTACGAGTATCCCAAACAGGAAAGTACATGTGAATACCGACGTATTATACCAGCGACAATTAGGTAAACAAACATGGTCGTACATCCAAATCTGTCTCCCACGCGCTTGTTACAACTAACAATTCTTTTTAGCGTTCTGATTGCCGATAACCTTGTGGTAAAAGTCAGCGATTTCGGCACTAGTCGCGAGTGGAATGATGTGAGTGCCGTGATGAGCTTCACGGGAACTGTAGCCTGGATGGCACCCGAGGTGATCAGGCACGAGCCCTGCTCTGAACGCGTCGACGTATGGTCGTATGGTGTTGTCCTTTGGGAATTGCTGACACAAGAGGTCCCATACAAAAATCTAGAGACACATGCCATAATGTGGGGTGTGGGCACAGATACGATTGCCCTCCCCGTGCCGTCGACAATGCCCGGAAGCATGCAGCTACTCATGAACCAGTGCTGGAACCGCACTCCGAGGAACAGGTGAGTGAAAATTATACTTAATCAGATTCTCCCCTTAGCAGACGCAGGTTAGGACAAAATGCGAAAGCTCCCTTACCGAAATGATGAGTATGATCCTTTTCGAATAAAATTGGATTTTGGCTAACGATCTGTTTACGTAATGACCCGCCATTTGATCCGAAATTACAGACCACAATTTGCTACTGACCACCGCACAGCAATTTAACTTCCTGTGTATAGTTACAGTACAGTCAACAAAATTACGCACCGACCACTTGGTTAAAACATTTTTACAATTAATAATTATATAATAAAAGTAATTAAATACTGCAGGCACTTTTTCACTCTCAACTTTATGATTAAAACTGCAGCAGTTAACAGCTATTTTATTGTGTTTGGTGAATAAAATACACCGACGTTATGCGCATTCGAAAACAATCGCAGTATTTATTTAAACTAAATTATGTGATGTAACAATAATATAATGAAAAGCAAACGAAAACATTATTTCATTCGCCATACGAACATTTATTACGCGACAGGCGAAGGTAGGTTATAATAACAAGGTGAGGGCACACGACAATTCTTATATACACTGCTACATTCAGCCGCGCTGCTGCGATATATTTTTGTTTTTCTATCAAAAACGAGTGAATTTAACGCAAAAAGAATTTGTGTTTTAATTTTATCTAAGTTTCAAAAATGAGTTTTCTATCAAAATCCTGAAGCGATTTCGTAAAAATGAAGACGTGACAACATTTTTGTTTAATACTTTGAATCCCGATTTTCTCTTTTTTTTTCCGGAAAATGGCAAGAGAAAAAAGAACAAAAGGTAATTCGCTCGTAAACCAACTACTTCGTAATTACGGAAATAAAAAAAATTAAAATCCATTTTATTTTCAATATCTAATATTTGATGAAATTGATGATAGTGAAGGTCATACCACTCTTAACAAGCACGGCTCATACAGAGGGGTTTTGCTTTGGAAACAATACAAAAAAGTTTTAAGCGGTCCGTCGGCGCACGGCTGGTGCATTTGCAGTGACACAAGCAAACACGTTGAAAATAGCCGGCCACAGTCTCTTGAAACAACGACTGTGGCACCTGGCTACTATAGACTTACACACAGAACACACACATATTGACAAAGGACATTTCCTTAAGTCTGGTAACATGGTAAATCATTTTACAGGCACACATAAATAACACACTGGCATTTTGGTGCTTCAATCATTTTAAAAAGCATAAATAGGCGATCGAACCGAACCGTCACCGTACCAATTTGGTCCAGCGGTCCAGAGGTATTCATTGACAATGTTGAACGAATCGCTCTACACACTATCCAATATGGTCCGGAGCGGACAAAAAAGACGGTACGGTCCTATCGTCTATTTATGCTTTAAGTGAAAATATGACTTACAAACTTTGACTGCACGGTTGGCGCGTTGGCTGGGCAACTGGCTGCCGCGCAACGTGTCGCGGGTTCGATTCCCGCACGGAAAAATTCTTTGTGTGATCCACAGGTTGTTGTTCCGGGTCTGGTGTCATGTGTATGTGAACTTATATGTTTGTAAACGCACCCACGACACAGGAGAAAATCCTAGTGTGGGGCAACGTTTTTAAAAAATAAAAAAATCAAAGTAAATTTAGTTCCGAAATTATTCCCAAATCATCTAATACCTGCAGACATCATACAACAACAACTTAACATTATTAACAATGAATTAAAATACCAATAAAAAAATGAGTTGATTGTGTAAAAATGTTGACTGATAGGATTTAAAATTAATGTCCTGTAATCCCGCCCTACAAAGAAACAAAATATCACAGTGTAACAATTTAATGTGGCGCTGTCTTTCCAGCAGTTGCCAGTTCGTACTTGGGCAACTTTTTGACTTCCGAATAGTGCTGTATCGAGTGTCTCGCCTCGCCTCACACCCTCTTATCATTTCTGAGCTTAAATATTGATTACTTCAGTAAAATGTGTTTTATTACCAGGCCTCCCTTCAAGATCATTGCGGCTAACTTGGAAATTGCTGGGGCCGAACTAGCCAGTTATCCTACGGAGTGCTTCAAGAAGAACCAAGTAGAGTGGCGCAAAGAGGTTCAAGACAGCATGACTCGATTCTTCGCAAGGTGAGTTTTCATATTTTACAGCGTAATAAGCGAGTTTATTTTGTGGTAGGGGCTCCGGACATTATGTAGTTGTTTAGGGTCGTGGTAGGGCTTACAGTAAAACGTTGAGGCAGGTCAAAACTTCGCTTTCGACGGTACACTGTAGCATACCCGGATTACTTTGAGTTATTTCTTATGTTATCCATGTTACCCTGGTTATAAATGTCCACTAGGAATAAATCGATAAGGTTTTTATTTATCGCTGTCATTATAAACTTGCAGAGTATTTTTTCATAAGAATTTAAAATATTTTCAGTCGCAACTTGAAATTTTTAAGAGGTTGTTAGCGTAAAACATTTTTAAGGAAGATATTTTCCTGTAATATCTTCCTTAAGCATTCTTGTCGCTGTTTATGTTGTTAATAAGTGTTGTAGCTCACTTAGATAGATTCAATCCACTCTTTTCCTGAAGTCCGTCAATTAATATACTAATACCTTCTCCTAAGTAACAAACGATTTTCTAAACATCGGATCAAAATCAGTACAACAAGTTGCAAGATAATCGCGCACACTCATACCTACATACCTACCTCTACAGGTCAAACTTAAGAACCTCCTTTTTTCAAGCTTATAAATCAATACTCCACTATATTCCTATCTCTCCGTCAAATGACAAGTAGGTAAATAAATTAAGTTGCTATAAAAATATGTTTCTGTGTAATTCGTACATGCATCGTATACAGCAATATCCGTCGACCGATTGAGTGATAGGTAAGTCAACCCACGCGTTCACTTAAAAGACTTTATTTAAAATGTCAGTTAATGAAGCTTTGGTTTTTCCATAAAATATCGGTCTGGTACTGTAAATTTTTGTTGCGAAGTTACATTTTTATATATAGGTAGTCGTTAAATTTTCCACGCCAAAATTTCTAAAAAATACTAAAATCAAATAACATCGTTTAAATAATCAAAATCGTTATCTTTGTTATTCGCTGAAACACGACGACAATACGTTTCGAGTCCCAAATCACATTTTTTAATTGTTGTAGGTAATATTTTTTCGAGTTAAAAATGATTTATGTCAAAAATGTTGGTGTACAAAATTCTCGATACGGTGTAAATGTGATCGTAGAATCGTAGTACCTACCTATGCGTCCATGGTGGCGGTGCAACAGTTCCGAGTTCTTAGTCGGTGATGAGCAGTGGCGACGAACGATATCAGTGAGCCAGTTAGCCTCCAGGTGGCAACGCGTGCGGGTGTCGATCGGCGCCGGACAAACACGCGTTCGAACATCGTTCCTTCCCTAAGTTTGCCTTGTAACTTTTATCAACTTTTATTTTGCGCGTTTATTTTTCTGTGATTATATATTTTTTTTAAATATGTTTTATTTTTATCTGGTGATTCTAATCTGTGTTTTAATTTTTGAATTTCTAAAATTGTATTTTCTCTTTGTTCGTTTCGAGTCAGCTCCTTCCGGGTGAGGTGTTTGTTTTAAAATTTACGGTGTTAATATAATCTTAATACATCATTAAATTTAATAATATAAAATAAAAGTTTAATATTTTAGTGCGTAACAATTTATTTTTTAAGTTGGTAATTTTTCTTTGTTCGGGTCTGCGTAAGTTGGTGCCGCAAGTCATTTAATTTATTCTAAATTTATTTATTGTGTTATTATTTTATTTTTAAATTATTTCAAGTTACGTTTTATTAAAATTTAAGTTCCATTTTCATATTTTTTAAATATTTTAAAGTGATGTCGTATTATCTTTGTTAGTTTAAGTTAACTTTTTCCGAAAGTTGAGTTTAATTTATTTTAAAAATTAATAATTCTACTATAATATTTGTAATATATTTTTGCTTTATATGTACTTACGTGTGTGGCTTGTTTCAATGAAATAGTTTTGCGTCGACAACAAGAAAAAAAAAAAAATAATAAAAAAAAATAAAATTTTTAAAAAAAAAATTTTAAAAAAAAAAAATAAAAAAAAAAACTAAATTAGTATTGCGGTTTTTTAAATCATTGAAGTGAATTTTTACCGAGCTAGTTTTCATTACAAAACTAATTATTCAGTTTAAAAAATTTAAAATATTTTCAATTTAAATTCTGGCTGTATCGCAGTCGCAGTTGTGTAAATTCACGCTAATTTCGCATTGACGGTGTAGGCAGTGGTGGTAATTTGATTTTGTGGGAACACAGAACCTGGCCATTGAAAATATTTCCTAACTTCGGAATCGTAAACGTACCAACGAAGCTAAGTATATTAATAACAAAATCGGATTATTAATAAATTTTCTGAAATTATGTAATTTCAAAAATATTATTTACTGCATATGTTTCTTAACTTCTGAAAATAAATTTAAGTAATGAAAAAAAATATTTTACTTTGTATTGTTAGTGTAATGTATAAAATATATTTTTTTAATATTAATATTTAGAAAACTAAAGAAACTTGTCTGCCTCGTTGAGTCATTTTCTCGCAACTTGTGATTTTGCGCTTGAGGAGCTGGGTTCAATCTTTAGGTACTAGTTTTAATTTTCCACAAACTTCTTACCACAGTTTTGGCTAAAAATGTATCTAAGTTACACTTGTGCCTCTGCCGTCGGGAGCGAAATTAGAAGCGTGATATTTTATATTTAATCTCTCTTACAGTTTAATAGTGAAATAGTTTCAGTAAACTTTAAATATAAGTTAACTTGAACTTGCAAAATGTTACGGTGGTTTAAGTCTTACATAAGGTATTAATTTTATTTTAATTTAATTATTTCGCACTTTGCACAATAGGTAGGGCTACAACCGGTTATGGTCCCGGGATAGATCGATATCATCCGCGCATGCATTGTTCCACAAATATCACTTTGAAAAAAGTTTAATTGTCAGGCACGGTTGGGTTCGAATACGTACTAATCCACAAGCACTTTAAATGACGTAGATAGCAGCAAGCACTGTCCAAACTTAGGAAGCTTAAGACCAGTGGTAGGCAAACGTTTACAAAGGACCAAAAAGCAGAAAACATCAGATATTGGTTCAAACAAACAAACAAAATAAAAAGATATTTATTTAAATAACCGCATCTGCTACACTTAAAACCTACTGTATTCTACAATACTGGAAAATAATGCTGCGCCTCCTACGCTATCCGTATTCCGAAACCGTCTTCTGTAAATGGAATCATTTAATTCCCCCCTCTAAACCTCCATAATAAAAATCACAAGTCTCAATACCTGTTAATTTTGTCTCTTAGGTCCAAATCGGAGCCGAAAGAGGCAGCTGGGGACGATCCGGAATCGGACAAGCACGTCCGGAGAATATACGAGAACCAGCTGTGCCGAGCCAACGAGCTGTACCTGGAGGTGTGCACCGTGCGGCTGCAGCTTGAACAGCGCGAGAAAGACGTCGAGGAGTAAGTACCCTTACACTATTGCTCCTAGGACACCAGCAGATCAAGCTGCCCCAGTCATCAGCACATCTTCGAGGGCTACCATATCATCACAAGAAATATGTATAATTCCGATCAATGGTGTCGTTTTTATTAGATGTTCTTTAGATAACTTGAAGAGTTTGGAAAATCTCACAGCACGGCCCAATTGCAGCCTTAAGAATTGCCAAGGTCCAAATTAAAATATGTACGTTTTTAAATTTCTTTAATAGGGTTTTCAACTCTCATTATTATCCGTCTACGTCTGGACTAGTCTCGAGAATACACCGCTAAGCGAGACTTGGCTTGGTCGTCTCTCATGAAGCTTGTTATCTTACAATTAAGTTGACACAATAGGGTACTTTGATGTGCCGGTGTCTACACATTTTACAGCCCTTGCTTACAACGCACTCCTCATATGCCGTGTTTGATTATTTGCAATTTGAGTGTCGTTCGTCGAGTGATGCCAGCGCGAATTCCAAGCAATCTCGAGTTTGATTCCCGCGTTGCTAGTGCTAGTGCTCGAGTTATTACTAACTTTTTTTAAATATATTATTTATAGCATTGCGTTTTTTTTCATCGAGTGATGTTATAGCAAAAGCCGAACAAACAGCCTTGGGTTCGATTCCCGGATTGGACAAATGGACAAATTGTTATTGACTTTTCAGCTTTTGACAATTTCCTGTAACGCTAAGCGGCCTACGAGAAGAGGTGTTAAATATAGCAGTTAATAAACTGCGCTCAGCGCTGCTTTTCCTTCACGAAATTAAAAGACGTTATGATTTTATGCATTTTTCTAAGCTCACGTCTTGTCGGAGACATGGTACATCTAGCATAGGGTCGTTAGCTTTACTGTAACTAGTGTTAGCGTTTTAGAAACTGATGCACATACAAAGAAAAGTACACAAATGAGTACCTACTTATACATCTTCATATGAGTAAAAAGTAAACTGCCTAAGACTGCCTCGTTGGCCGAGTGGTCGCAAGTGCGACTGCCGAGCAAGGGGTCAATAAGTTTTAAAAAAAATTCTCAGCGGTGGCACGGAGTCTGGAATTTTATAATAATATTACATGGGACTCATAAAATAGTAAAAAGTTGGTGGTACAGTGGCATTAAGCCTTTGACTGCCGACAGAAAAATATTGAAGGCAACTCCTCCGCTAACGTAGGTCACCGGTGACCTACGCGGCGGTTAACGCGGAATGTGCACCTCTGCCGATCTCTTTGGAGATAAAACGCGTGATGTTTATTTAAAAAATAATAAACAGTAAACACTAATTTTTTTTAAGGAATTACTACTGGAGGAGATTAAGAATAAATATTAATAGGTTTATTATTAATACGAATAAATATTAATACATTTTTAAATATTATTATTAATACCAATAAATGGAATAAATATTATTAATACGAATAAATATTCATAATTCATATCAATCGTTAAATAATTTTGTGTAAGACTAAAGTTGTGAATGATTTATTTTTGCAAAATTCTTATCTATGGAAATTTATCAAATATTGAATTGATTAAAAAGTTCGCGTCTTCGAGAACAAAGTAGATTAAATACAGAAAAGGGAAAATTCTAAATCGGTCCAGGCGTTTTCGAGTAATTACTGAACATACATATCTGACGAATTAAATTCCAATCCTTAAAGTCAGTTAAAAATATATTTCTTTGCCAACGTAATCTCAATTTTATTTGTCAAGGTAAATAAACTAACTTGAAATATATATTTCCATATTTCCTAGATCAGATAGGTTCAGGCCCTCCTAGTTTCGAAATATCATTTTTATGTTTAATAGAGACTGTCTCACTGGAATCGTGATTGCGTCGCAGCAATGGGTTTCCGATTCGATTTCCAGGTAGTGAATACAATTATTGATGTATTTCGATTCTTCGAAAATTCTCAGTTATGGTAAGGAGTCATGAATTTCACCACAGACTTGCTATGTTTATCCGCATCGTAATTAAGAATTTATAACATATCTGGTGAAAAGTGGGTGTTACGTTGAAAGTTTAACATTAAGGGAACATAGAGTAATGTTCCTCAGGATCGGAAAAGGAGAATCCTCCGACCAGGCGGGGCGATCGTGCCTGGGAGGCTTTGTTCGTTGGGATTTTCTATCCATGTTTATTCGCATGTAAACTTCACATGTGAGATATAGGATTGTGTCGTCTAACGTCTATGCGTGACATCTGACTTCTGTCACTTGTCATGTGTCGTCGTTGAAATTTCAACGTGCGTTGCCATAAAAGTATAAGTATACTCGAATTTTTAATTCGATTCCAGATTTGACAATTTCAGTGTTGCAACGTTATGACAAGTACTAAACAGTGACGTTGCGAAATTATTCGATATGGAATATTTCCGGTTTGATTCTTCTCGCTTATAATTTTACTCTCGTAAACTAAGTTTACCAGGAAATTAAATATTTCTGAACCGATAATTTAGTTTTGTCGATTAATTAACGATCTGAGACTTTTCTTTTATAATTGTGTGTGAAATAAATAAAAAAATGTAATCATGAAGGAACATGGCAAATAAAATAGATAGATGTATTATGGTAATAATTTATTTTATAAATTGTCGCCGTCATCGCTATCGCTATCCTGTTACTTTCTGTAACATTTATGATAAAACACATACACTGATTGTTTATCAATTTTTGTGTTCATCACTACACTATTATATGTGGTATCATTATTTCACAAAATGACAGTAGCTAATGTCAAATCTGGAATCTAATTAAAATTCTGACTATAGTGGCTACTCTGCCTCGGAGATAGTCTAAAACGCGTTCGATAACGTTAATGTATCGCATCGATTATTATTTTGAACTTTGATTGTGGTTTCGAGTTATAGTAGGTTTTGTTCCATTTATTTGTATCTTTTATTCAGCATTGCATTCAATGCAGGTGCCAAATAATCACAATCATATTATGGTCATAGTTAAACTAAATCATTGGTCATATGATTTTAAACGTAACCACTGAAAGACTCCGTCTCAATATTATTTATACTATTGTTATATATTCGAAATAAACATTTTTTTGTAGTAACACAAAGTTTGAAATTGTACGTAGTAGGATGTAGTGTAGTGTTAAAGAAGTGCTAATGTGCATGGGACTAAAAATTACTGTGACATTTAGATTCAGAAGTACACTCCTTCTGCTTGCTCCTTCGAAGGATAATATGCTAAGTTTCATGAAAATCTACCCAATCCAAAATAATTTTAGGCAGACTATATAGTGTTCGAATGATCAAAAACAAATAGAATAGTATTAGCACCACCATCCGCATAAAAACATAAAAAACAAATTATAATGGTGAGAAAAATTCTCAGGGACGCAATGTAACTAATTATGCCGCTTGCAACTTATCGATCGCCTATTATAGACGGCATTTGCTTCATTTTCCCTAGTAAATATGTTTAAAATCTAACATCAACCACCTGAATAATACAGTGGAATCGATCTTCTAATTACATTTGATGCACTGTTTATTTTCAGAACTGCTGCCCGTTTTAAGTCACACCTGGTGTCGTGACAAATATACCAATCTTGCATTATCTAGCCATTAGGTAACTAAATATAACTAGTTATATTCGAGAATGTGACAAGAACCCTTGTAATGCAGTTACCTGGGAATCGGCACGGTCTTCTTGTTAGCTCCACTTGTCAAGCTCCTCAAACCTCGTTACCTATCTATAGCATTTAGGGTATTCACATTTTATTACCTAGCTTGTTTAAGTGACCATTATTGTCTTTACCTGGAAGGCACCAATTTTGATGTCTTTAAAACTAACTGTATGTCGGTCGCTGTTTCATCACTTCGCGTCAACTGGTATACATGTGAAAGTGGTCAATGTGATAAAATAGAAATGACAAGAGATTGACATCGATTTGCGAAAAATTATGAAAGCTTACACCCTTTTCAACCAACGTTTATACGAAATGACAAAAACTGATAGTAAAACGTAGTGTATTTTACTAATAAACCTAACTCTTAACATTCCGGGAGGAGAATGATTTTTTTATTTGATTTGAGAAACGACATGCAGAATACCCTTACCATAATTATACATTAATATATTTCGAGTTCAACAAACCATAGCGATTTATTCCAATATACCATACCATAATATTATTTCATTGACACGAATTATTAAAATAAATCCGAAATCCTTGAATAATTTATATTAATTTAACAATACTAGTTTGTATGTATAATCCGGCCATTCTTTGAGCGATAACAATAGTTATAATATTTTGCATGTGTGTTGTAAAAGCTTCAGTGTGTTATAGCAGTTTGTGTATGGTGTATCATATACCGGCATACAAGAGGCTGTACATTGGTCAGAGTATAGATTTGCATCGCAGTCCAATGAGCCTTTGATGAATCTTGATAACGTCGATCGCATTACATTGCTAATTACGCAAGCCGAGAACGTCTGCACAAACCCAATTAGCAGACCTTATTAAAATACACTGTAAAATCTATTTCGATTTCGTTGAACGGTGAACCATTGCAAAACGTAAACTTCAAACGCGCATACGAACTCATAGTACATTATTAAAACATCACGCCATGTAATTTTCGAAGACGTATTTCTCATCTGGTGGGTCGTGCGATGCGAATAGTGCCTACAAATGTCTAGTGTCTAGTGTTTCACGAACGAATTTCCATGAAAATTTTTCAGACGAACAAAAAAATAAGTCCTTATTTTTTTTGTTTTTATTTTATATATTGAAAGTACTCCTTATGACAAGTTGTTTTGCCGCCCGACGAAAACGAAATAGATCAATGAGAAGTGGGCGTTTTAAACCTCCGGGCCACGACTGAAATCAGTTGAGTAGTTAGATAATTTACATGAAACGATGGTAGAGTGTTTTTGTGCGATGACGGTGGCAAAAAAACACACGTGTCGTCTGATAGTAAGTGGTTACCGTACCCTATGAAGGCTTGCAACACTTGGGGCATTACGTCCGCATTGCCGACCCTTATAAAACCTATTCACTCTCTCTTTTTGAAAAACCACATGTTCTAGCCTACTAGGAAAACCTCGGCAGGAAGTTTATTTCACAATCGGAGGGTTCAATGGAAGGAAATTCCTCTGAAACCGATCTGTACTGTGTGAGCGTGAACTCCCTGTCGATGACGAGCGGCGCGATGGTATAAAGTGGCCGTGGGCGTCATATCAAACAATTCCGCGAAACATAACCTATTATACAATCGGTAGAGCATGCACAAGTTACTTTCGAGTTTTAGTAAAGATAGTCGGAAAAGATTTTTAAAGCTCATTCATATGATTATTTGACAATAGTCAGCCTCAGTTCTTATTTGATTGCGATTGTGTTTGTATTGTTAAAGTTAGGTGATTGGAAACAAAATAGTGGAATTAAATACCCTAAGTGGTTTACCAAAGTTACGTTTAAAATACAGAACACATCTGATACCAACCAAGTTCATTTATTCCATTAAATAACCATACGGGTTTATTCGTAAACAGTACTAAACATCGCTGTGATGTCAAATAAGAGTACCTTCACTGATATACTAGCGCTTACATTTAATTAATGTGTTAAATTCATCGCCTAACTACTCAAAACCCGTGCAAAATTTGCCACATGGTAAAACAAACACCCTGCCGGTTGGCTTTCATTAAGCAAAATGGTGTTTTGTTTGTAAATTGAAAATAAAAGTTACCAACGATCCGACGTAGCCAGTTTCAGGATGTCTGTCCGAAATAATTATGATCATTAAAGAGATTTGAACGGACTCACGAATCGGGGTGTCCGGTGACGGGGTTTAAGTTATACAAAATGAGTTTATTCATTTATTGAATTGGGACTTCCTTCAATTCTGGTAATTGTGGTTATAAACTAACTGTATAGTTTATGTCGTCTATGTCTTGCGTAGTTAAAAAGAATTAAGGTCGTCGCACACCTAACAAGCACGGCTCCGTCACGGCTCTAACGCAGCAATTAACTTATCATATATGAGTTTCAAATTATATGTTGCATAACATATTTCATAACGTCAATATATAAAACTGCACGCGTCGTGCCGCCCGCGCGTCGACGGTGCGCTTACAACCTTTTTGTATTGTTATCGAAGCAAAAGACGCCGTGCCGAAGCCGTGCCGGAGCCATGATCTTAGGTGTACGATGGCCTTAATTTGTTTTCGTTAAAGAATTAACCATGTAACAAACAGATACGGAGTTACAGTCAAGTGTTCCAAGATATTGTCTTTATAGGTAGGACAAATTAGAAGTGAGAGTTTGATTAGAACACTAACAATCAATTAAAAAATAACCTAAAAAAAAACAATGTCAATTCAGAATATAACAAGGCATTGAAATGTAGCATTGTGCATTGCAACATAATAATGCCATTCGTATCTGGCAATAATTGATCCATAGTCGCATTGACCTGAATTGTAGAGAATACTGGAATTAATTATTATGTTTTCGGGTTACTCACGTACTGACTAGTTTCAAGCCATACTAGAGGCTCTTAATATGAATTAACGAGCAGCATTCCGCGACACACTGGCTACTCCAGTCTGATATAGTAAGGGCCCAGTGCGCCCTCAGCCGGGATTTCCGCGCACTTTCCTCTATCTATAGCAGTGACGCCGGCGGCGGCGTAGATACTGAATTTGAATCCCGGGTCAACGCAAAAACTGTGTTACATACCGCGGTCTATGTGTCACACTCCAGACCCGCGACATTGTAGTTTGACGCAGATTTTAGACTCGGCTTCCAGCCAGGTGGCAGTGCCCAGCCACCGTCTCTTTTGAAGTTCGGACGACGATTTATTTCGATGGCCTCACGTACTTTCCGCGGTACAAAGTCCTCCCTTGTCGGTACGTTCACTAGTACAGGGCACGGATCATTTCCTCCATTTCGACAATATCTCCGATATCTGTTCACACATGATGTTTGTTCTTATTGCTACTGTTCCGCAAAAATCACGTTCTCAGCCCTTATTGTTAAATGAGAGGTATTACGAACTGATTGCATTCTATACATCTGTAACTTCGGATTATAGACTACTAGTTTCTGTCAGCGGGTTCGCCCGCATTCCAGTGGGATAAAAGGTCTATACCTATTCTAGACTATTATTTAAGCCTGTTCCAAATTTCATCTCTCGATCCCTCAGCCGTTGTGACGTGAAAGAGTATCACATACATCCTCACAAACTTTCACATTCATAATATTAGTAAGATTGCAGGATGTGACGCGCTCACGGGCTGTGTAGTATGACAAATACGACTCACGCCGATTGTTTACTATGGTTGAATGCAACTAAGGTCAATCCTCAAGTAAAGCCTATGTGTAGTTGTATCTGTTTTTCCAATCGTTGTCTATACGGATACGCAGCTCGTGAACTGTTATCCCCATATTAGATGATGTTGTTCTTATGTTCGTGTACCTACGTGTCAAACTAGCTTTCCGTCCATGATTTCGTCCACCTACTTTTCATGTACGTATTTGAGGTTTACTAAGTTCCCAATTATATAGACGTGTCAAAAAGTAATCTTAGTAATTACGTGAGAAATCTCTCAGGTATAGGTATACCTACACCCTTCTCTTAAAATAACGTACTTGTACGATGTTAGCATTATTCACGTGCATATTATTGTGCAGCTCTTCGTACATTTTCAGGGAGTAAAATATTCTACAAAGTATCGTGTTATGTGCGTGGGATGTGGACACACTCGTATTTGCAATTTTAAAGTATCGTTGCACTAAGGGGCTCATTTTAATTGGGTACCTAGTGTTCGATCTATTTATCTACCTTGGGCGGGGTGCACCATTAACGAACCTAATAGGGTAGTGATCTAAATTTTATTTTAATATTCGTCTGGAAGATTATTTTCAAACATTTAATTCTTTTCTTATCATTTCTACGATATATTGATTTGAAATGTCGTGTGACGTCACGATTTACTGCATTTTATACGGTAGCGTGACGTAACGAGCTCTTACTCCTAAACTTAACTCCGTTTTATCTAAGTATTGTTTACTTATATGACAAAGTAAAAAAAACAAGTGTCTAATATTTTTTCATTACCTAACTGTCGAACTAATAACATTTTTATTTTTTATACACTGTCTACTACCCTATTAGGTGCCTTTACAATGTAACACCTACTTTTCACTACTTATGAGTGTCATAGTATGATAGTCTACTGTCATATGCCGGGTGTATTTCCAAACTTCGTGCATATACTAAGAAAATTTGAAAATTCAAAGCACACCCAATAATACTTGCCTTGTGCTAGCCACCACTTGACCAACGACATACTACTTAGCCCTCAATTTCAAGTTACCCTTAAAGCTTCTTCAAATAGATCTTATTAGAATATTTACTGCTTGGTACGTCACCTAGTAAGGCAGAGCACTAACGATCGATTTAGAAATTATTATTTTTTCAACTTTATTTATGTACAGTAGCTTAATAAAAGCAAAATTTGTGATCCTTTGTTTTCTCTCAAGGTTTCTATACCAATTATGATAAAAATGTTAAATGAATCTTTCCTTTACATATCGTCTTGTATTGCCCGGGTGGGTAAACAAAAGTGCACATACATAGGTATCGAACGCAGTGTCCAGTTTCTACTAATTTTGTCATGAATCTCTGGTAATAAAAGAAGAAGAGAAAATTGCCATATACCGGATATAATTATACGACGACAATTATGAGAATTTTCGAAAAACATCGGGGTCCGATGGTATTTTGTAAATTCATTATAAAGTAGCGATTTTCCACGTCAATATTTTAAAGTTATTTAGATGAGGCACTATTTAAACTGTCAAACACCAAGCGGTCACCGGTGACCGAAACCTATTGTTCTATAATTGTGTCTACAAAAACAGTACTCGACGAGTTAAATTAATGATTTATGCATAAAAAGCTTCTGCTCGCGACTTCGTATGCGCAAGCCGTTTTCTCTCGTTCCAGTAAGATTATCAGGAATTTTTCTGTCTTAGGAACCTTCTCCTAATAATAAAAAATAAAACAAAAAAAGAATTAGTAAAATCGGTCCAGCCATTCACGCGTGATGCCGTGGCCAAGGGAAAAAGGGATTCATTTATATAATAAATATATTTCGTTTAATTTCAGTTATAGTAAAATCATTTATTGGTGCATAAGCGAAGGATTCTCTTATTATAGTAGACGATGTAGAGTTAGCCGATATGTTGTCGGAGAATGTGCGTTTTGCTAAGGTTTACTAGAAATTTAATTTTTTTTCATCACGCCTTTTATTATATGTTGCAGGGGTATAGAATTGTACCTACCTTCATAAAATTGTTACAATATAACACTCAGTTTTTACCAATTATATTACGAGTACCACATGATACCGGGCACTGTTACAGACTCCGTGCTACCACTGAGAATTGTTCGGAAAACAGAAAATGACCCAATAAACAGGGCCATTGAGACACATTATTCTCTTAATACACAGCTTCGCACGAGACGGCCGTCAGTTTTAACCATAAATAGGTATTGTACTAATTTTGTTTTGGTGTAAACGCACTGCCCGTCATATCATGTACGGTGTAAGACGACGGCCGCAAGCTTTTAGCCGACTAAGATTCTGACCATTTTAAATTACACATACATTTATGTCGATTATAGTATAAATAATACTTATTTCCGAATGCGGCGACTATTTATGCATTGCGATTTCTTATTTATAAGCCAGGGCTACTTATGAAGCTAGGCTAGGCTACAGGCTCCATGCTAATTTATGTTGTACTCTAATATGGACTAAGAAAATAATGATAAATTATCTAACGCAGACTTTCTTTACAGGCGCGAGATTGCCCTAAGGGCTTGCCGTTGTGGTATTCGCCGCAACTTGAAGTACCATTACAAACCCTCCTCCTCGTCGTCCGATCTGATGGCGACCGATCCTCGTCGGAAGTTCAATAAGAAGAAGGAAGCCCAGGTGTTGGTGGTTCGATACGTGGAAAAGAAAAAAACCAACAAAGCAGTATCGGTGGCGGTACCCGAAGGCGAAGTCCATAATGTAATGGTGGATGTGGCCTGCGAATTAAATAAAAAAGCGATCGAAAAAAATAATAACAACCAGCCACCTAAGAAGAAAGATACTATCGTGGAGGTGAATGGAAACATCGGAGTAAAACCAAAGGGACATGGAAAGGTGGATAACAAATATAAAATACCAGATATTGCTCATGTTTAAATGTACATCATAAATTAATACGAGTTGGGAGCGCGTGCATGCACCCAGCTCGATCGACTTAACCGGACTGGTGTAAGCGAGCCTGTCTCGCCCTTCGATTTTAGAAAACAGAATCTTTTTACAAAGAGTCTCACTATCTTCGTGTAATAAAATAACAAAAAACCAAAAAAAAGTAGTTAGACTTTGATATTGCTTTACAGCATACGAAGGTTTCAATTTAATGTGTCTGTATATTTAGAACTGGGAGATATTATTGTTTAACTTGTACTTACTACACGGACGTCACTCAAGTTCCTGCAAAGCCTAGGAAAACACAAAATGTCTGTACGATTTTGTCTCCTACAGTTTCATAATTTAATAGGAAGTAGTGATTTTGACATAGGGATATCCCTAATTCATTATATTGTGTGTCTATGTATTCAATTCTATTAGCGAACACAATGAAATATACCCACATAATACTACGAAGTAAATATATTATAAGCTAAACAAGTTACCATCACAGTAGCAACTAAATGTCTATTACAGTTACGTATACTAAAAATAAGAAGTGACTCCAAGGTTGGGAATTCAAGCAGACGGAAGTCCTAACCTCATTCTGTAGGTAAGTGTCGATGAACAATTTTACCTGATACCGCCAAATGTCCCAACCACATCGGAGAGTACACGCAATATATAACTTATATCAGTTAATAATCTAAATATTCATAATCATTCCAGAAAATTTTAATAAACCTTTGTGCGGGCTGAAAGCGCCTCTGAAATGCACGGCAGAGGCACTCATATATATATTTTTGATTTTAAAGTCCCGATCACTGCAGTCATTTAATTTCTAGAGACTAAAGTCCGAAGACATGTAAACTAGGGACTTATAGCTTTAGCGAATTCGCATTAATGAAGGAAATTCGAATCTCGCGTCCAATTATTATAATCTAACTTTCAGTCCGCGTGTAGTGAAACATTGGTGTGTAGAGATTAAATTGTATTAGATTACTGTGTGTTTATATCCTTTCTTTAATTAGATCCAGTAATTAATTTGCATCAAATATCTTACAACCGATATATTGAACAACTTAAACTAACAAAGCTAGAAAATAAAAACACATAAGGACTCTGATTGTGTGCTCACAGAAAACTATTAATCTCAAAATAAAATATCAAACACTAAGAAATCTTCTAAAACGAAGTGTCATGACTGAATATCCTTATATAGTACACAAAATTCTCATTCAATATAGATGTGACAAAGGTTTATTGTAGGGTACCCGACTTTAAAATGTCCAAAAATATTGTGGTTGTGCAATAATATAAATATTAAAAGGTATATCTACTTATTTCATATTTGGTCGGTTAACCGATATATTTGGTTTACGGTATTAGTGTGCTTAATGGCGCGTACTCGGCTATAAATAAAGTTTAAAACTTGTCGTGGAATACATAACATTATGACGTCATCACAACAATTAGAAAAAAGGTTTAGCAAAATGTACCTAGTCAGTTACCCTATAATAATCTAAACGTCTATTTTTTCGAAGACTATGATTTTATTATCCTTAGATATACTTTTTAGTTTAGTGAATAAGTAGTACTAGTTGGTAAATTTATTTCATTTTATATAAGTTTAACAGTTTTAGCTAGACTAAAACTACTTAGGCTTAGGTTTAAAAGTATGATTTATTAATTTTGTTTTACTGATTTTTACTTTGAGAAAAGGTTTTGGACCAATTGCTGTCGTAGACACCAAGTTTGTTATTTTCGCAAACTTTCTAACTCGACAGTTAATTGGTGTGGAAACTTGTCTCTTTCCCATGTATTAGCTTTTTTACTCTGTTTTTATATAAAAAAAAAACTTAATGGTAATGACTAGTGAGAAGTAATATTTTTATAACATATTTTTTGCTAATCGTGCCGCGCGCGCTGGGGTATGCACAAATTGACTTAAAATTTCAATCAATATTGATATTTGGCAGGAGTATTTAATTGCGAATCTTATCAGTTATAAATAAAAAATACCCTACATATGTTTTGTAGGGATTTGTCTAAAAACTAAATCAAGCGTTCCCCAGTGCACTATTGCGGCGGGTTGGATAGGTTCGGGAATGATAGGGAAAGATAAAAAGTATTATTAAATTTTTAATAATAATGCCTTGCTTGAAGGCTATGGCTATTATGATGACTAGATGTTTACGGCTGTATTTAAAAGCTATTTCGGTCATTTATTTAGAATAAAAATTTGTAAGCGAACAAGTTTGACGAGTTTACTTTATTAAAAGTTACATAATCGATCCAGATTATATAAAAAAAATATTATATATAACATAAATTGACATTAAAATTGTAATTGAACACAACGGTTAGTATCTTGACGTGTGGTATCCGTCCCTGCTATTGTGCGACGGTAAAGAAGAGCTGTGCATTCCATGTGTAGCGCAACATTATTATCGCAACAACACAGTTGCAACTTCCACTACTCTTGGTACATACGACCGTTGTCAAACGTGATATGATAAACTTAAACAGCCCATCTTTGTTTATTAAAACAAATAAAGCTGACCCCACGTGCGCGATCCTTGGGCGTGTGAGTGGCGCAGGTGTCCCGAGCGTGTTGCGTGAGTGTGGCGTTTTGTTGCCTTGTGGCGTTTGGGAAGAGTGCAAGCGGCGGGCTCGCGTCGTGTACTCGGTGACGTCACTCATACGACCGAAGAACGCATGCGCTTAATGTGGGGAGGCCTAATGCTGACGCCTAACTGACCGATTTCGTACTATAATTAAATTTGAAATAAAAACGCTATTATGCGCTAACCTTTTGTAAATATATTGTCACGCGAGCTGAACAGAAGCAAAAAATATGTTACCGACCTAGCAAGTTTATTTTTTTACTTATATTACTTATTTATGTTTAAAGGTTCCGTACGGCGAGTGATTATTTTAAATAAATGCTCAAATATTAGTTTTATGATTTAATTTATACTTACGGAAGTTGAGGGTCCAAATTAAAGATCTCAAAATGTTGCATTTTTTGTATACTTTGTTATTGTTTGTGCGGAACCTTCGGTGCGAGTTAAACTTGTGCTATTGTGATTATTATTATATTATTTTAAACTTAACGAAGTGATAGTATTGGGCACTGGATTGGAGAGACCTGGCGTGATCTTGTAACGTGTAGACTCGACGGTTCCACTGTCGGGCAAGTCCTAGTATGAACCAAAGAGCCAGTGTTAATTCAGTCCAAAAGTTAATACAGATCACGAATAAATTCACGAACTTCATCATTTAGGCTTCGTACTTCATTAAACGAATTGAAAGTATAGACTGCACTTAGTCTGAATGTAATTTTTTACACTATTTTACTACTAACTTTTAATCCTCTTGTGACCCTTTGGCACTGTTCTTAACTGCTCAACTTTGTCGAGCTACAATACAATTTGGTAACGATATCTTTATAAACATTTTGACAAATTTTGAAAACCGCAACGATTTTGAGTTAAGGTTTTTATTATTATTACACCAAGTTGTTCACGAAATCTGTTCCTGATGATTATTGTCACAATTTAGCGCGTGTAGGTACACCTCGGCAGTGCCAATTTGTCAATCTTCGCCTAAGAATCTTTTAGTATCTACCTTTACCACCTCTGAAAACGAAATGTACAATATTTGAAGCATTCGACGCAAATACTCGACATGAAAATATTAACGATCAATTTCGAGAGACTGTCTAAATTCTGAGAATTAAACGGTTTTCCACATCAAGATCAAATTTCATAAATTAAAGTTAACATATGTCATATCATTTTACGGCGATGGCAAAATTCCAAGTTTCAACGTGTGAGATAAATACGGTGCGAACTGGTTCGATCCGGATTGCATTGTGACGAATTAAATACCAACCTATGGTTATCGTTAATATTTCGATGGAGGAGTATTTATATCAGGTGCGGATAATAATATGGTTGTAAGTCATTTCATTTGGAGGGTATCACCAATATACTGAACAATGATTAATCAGCTTACACCGAACTCTTCGTTTAATCATTGGTACTCTCAAACCTTTCTGCCAGGGCTTTATAATTACAAAATGCGTGTCCCATCCTAATCACATTTGTTTATGTCACTGTGTTTTATAGTTTAAAAACATATTTAATAAGTTAAGTTACACCCTATAGCCCTGGTACTAACTATTTATTATAGATTAGCCTAATTTTTGGTCTAGTCGAATTAATTTTAAGTGTATTCGAATATGTATAACGTAGTAAATAAATTATAGTATCAATAATTATGTTGTTTTATTTGATTTTAATTATAAAAATAAACCCTGACACAGACATACATATACACACAAAATACTGCAACGTACAGTGGCCGGCGATAAATATTTCACAGATATTTTTAAAGTTTTGTCTTATTTATGAGAAGTATTTGATTAATTTTAGAGGCTATAATAATGAACATATACAGGGTGACTTGTAACTCGACATATTTCACTCGGGAGGTGATAATACAATTAATTTCCTACAAAACTACTTCTGAGATTCCTAGTCCGAAAGTGGCTAATTTCTGAGATAATAAATATTTTCTGTTTTGGTGAAAAACTCCCGATCTACTACACATACTAACAAACAACTACAAAACATTAATAAATACAAAACTAGTTTGAGTTCAGTGATTTTAGTTTTAATTTATTGTTGATACATCAAGAAAATTTTATTAATAGGTACTGTAATTTCAGAAATATTCGTTTTAAAACACCATGTAAATTAGTATCAAATTTTGTTTTGAATCACTAATTTCGTCAATAGAAATGGAAACTAAGAGTACAAATAATTAGAAAAACTTGATTGGTTTGATAGTTGCTTAAAAACATTGAGCTATTTATAAAATTCTCAAAAATAAACTATTAACTAACTAAATGATAAATTAAGAGTAAAGGAAAACGGGCAATTACAAAAACATCAATATTAACTAGATGTTGTTCAAAGTAACCTTTCCTATAATGAATACAGGCCAGCAGCTGTAGCCAAAAGCCATTTAGAGCTTGTCTACATGTAGAGTAGAAAATTAAACTAAATGGAATTGACGTAATTTTTGACACTTGTCAGTGTCATCCCCATACATTTAGTTTTCTACTCTCTGTAGGCAAGCGCTAAACTGGCGTATGGCTAAAGGCAGTGCACACGCTTCCTTATCTGTGACAGTCTTGAACTGAATAAGCGTCTTATTTCTTCAGTCGCTTCAATTATAAATTGTATAAGATATAAGCTTTCTTAGGCGAATTATGGACCGATGAGAGCAATTCGACCAGGATTGTATTACAAACTATCACAATATCCATTCCCAGTCCCAAAAAGGCAATCAAATGTAAGAAAAGCAAAACCAACAGGTTCACAATAGTGTCATTAATAATGAAGTACTTGATTGGGCCAAACAGACTCTTTGTCCAATTATTGAAATGGTGATACTTATGAGGAATTTTAAACGAATGAGCCTTAGCAAATCCACAAATTTCAAGCTAAGGCTAAGGCCTTAAGGATTTAGAAACAAGGAGAGGAATGATATTTTAACACGATGGTTTGCCAGCGCACTATCGAATTACTATGCGGCAATGGCTGGATACCTCGTCTATGGTCGTCCAATGGTCGTCCAATTTTATGGCCCGCACGATTTTCAAGTGCGTGGGGGCACATGAAGTCCCTTGTTTAAGCAACGCCAATTCCCTCTATTAAAATTCTTCGCGGGAAAATAATTGAAGCGGGTGAAAAACTAACACGATGGAATGCTTTGCAAATTTCAGGAGTGAACATCACAAAGAAGGAAACTTATGCGGACGGGCATGTATTCATAATAGGGAAGGTGACTATGAACAACGTTTTAGTAAACAATGATGTTTTTGAAATTGCCCGTTTTCCTTTACACTTTACTTATCATCTAGTTATTAGTTTATTTTGAGAATTTTATAAACAATTTAATGTTTTAGGTACCTACCTATTAAACCAATCAAGTTTTTCTAATAGTTTGTACGCTTACAGGTAATATAGTTTTTTTAAATCCACTTTTGTATTGACGAAATTAGTGACTCAAATAAAACTTGATACTATTTTCCTTGCTTTTTAAAATGATATTTGATACGAATAATATTTCTGAAAGTATTAGTATTAATAAATGTTTATTGATTTATTGACAATAAATTAAAATCGGCTTCTTTTTACCAAAACCTAAAATGTTGAATATCTAAGAAATTAGTCACTTTCGGACTAGGTATCTCAGGGCTAATTTTGTAGGAAATTTTGTTGAATTAGCACCTTCTGAGAGGAATACGTCGAGTTACAAGTCACTCTGCATACGCGATGTCTTTGCCAATTGTCTCTTTCTAAAGGTCGATGTCCAATTTTTGTTACCAGTTGTACTGTAGTCCTTCTTAGGTAACCTTACAAAATGAACTTCTAGCTGAATTGAAACTGTAAAATCAATAATTTTAATTTAGGAACTTCGAACTTTCCCGATCTACATCACTATTTTTGCTCTTAACTCCATTGAGAAGTGATAGCTCTTATGGTGTGGTATTTAAGAGTCATTTCAGTTTATTATTCATGAGACATGAAGCCTAGCATGCCTCGAAATAGCGAAAATATGTATCAACTTTAAAATAGCTGTGGTGACTGGTGGTACAAAAGAATTATTTTAATCGAATCCAAAAAGGAAATAGAGAATTAAATCACCTCTTCTTTTGGTAACAAATGTAAATTTTATTAATCAATTGATATATTAAAGAATAGTTGTAGTTTAGTTACAACCCATCCATTGGACATTGATCAAAGAAATTGATATTTCGACCACTGGTTGGCGCGGTAGCTGAGCCAACCGGCTGCCACACAACGTGTATCGGGTTGGATTCCTGCACGGAGTAACTCTTTGTGTGCTCCACAAATTATTTCAGATCTGGGTATCATGTGTAAATGATATTGTATGTTTGTTAACGCACCTACGACACTACACACTATTAAAAAAAATAACTTGAATCTTTTTAAAGTACTACTACAACTAGCCACTAGAACTTAATACTACCAGAATATGCGATATGTTAGTTTGACAAGCATCCCTACAGCTACAAGCTCCAATAAAACTGCAGCGAAAATATAACTACCCGACTTGATCTGTCAGTGGGAGCGTCCACCCGCCAAAGAGTGCAACTTGTGTACAATGTATGAGAGGAAGCGAGTCAGTGTACGTACAGTCTGTCTATTTAATCATGACGACGAATGTTTGTGGAACTAACAACATTAAAACTATTGCAACACTCAATGTTATCAGCTGTGATCGAGTCATCGAGATTGTTTTGCGAATCATAAAAGTACTAGATTGGAATCAAGTGAATAAGTTTCTTCCATGACACGCATTCTGGTCCACGGTCATCGGAGGATTTGAATCTTGAGATGCTCCAGCACGCGAGCGGATCCCTTTGACCGACCTTCCACTGTTCGAGCTTCGAGCTGTTCGACTGTGGAATGCTTTGCAACTTTCTGTAAGGCGAACACAGTCACGCGCTATATTTAAAGCACTCGTGAGGAAACATTATTTCTCCACGCTGTAGTTACTATTTCTTTGCTCTTTCTTATCCGTCATTTGTTTATATTTTATTTTGTTTTCTTATATTTATTACTAGCTGGCCCGGGAAACTTCGTACCGCCTATAAATGTTTTTTCTCACCTTATAAACCTTCCTTGGACTCCAACGAACATTTCAATACCAAAATTACCCAAATCGGTTCAGCCGTTCTTGAGTTTTAGCGAGACTAACGAACAGAAATTGATTTTTATTTATATAGAAGATAGAAGATAGATGAATGTATGTATAGATATGTGTAAGTACCTGGGTATGCGTAGAACTTAGTAGAACCACCTCCACTATCATTCAGTGCTCCATTTAGGTTGCCTGCTGGTAGAGATTCGCTTTTAGCGATAAGGCCGCTTTTGTGTCCTACTATTCTTTTGTCTGTAACATTATATTTATTATATTTATGTTCATATTGCTTTTTAGGGACCAGCGATTACATCTGTAGCTCTCTTATTGTAACTTAATCAACCAGTATTTAAATGATTTCAAAAACATAGTTTGTGCAAACACGATACTTTTACTGTTATATTAATGAACGTCTTTTATTATTCTCTACTATATTATGCATGTATTATACATATAAACCTTTATAAACCTTTTATGTACAAAATAAGTAGATAGCTAAAAATAAGTAACGTAAAGGTTGTACCTATATTTCATTCTGAAAATCAATGAGGGCGCCACAGTTCATATTACAACCCCTACAGCGTAAGAACCAACCAATAACCATCAAAACTAACCTATATCTAAATAAATTTGCAATGTAACCAATTCTCATTTTAGACATAATATCGTTTATTTTGTTGGTTTTTCACGTCTGCAAGATAAAATGTCTCATACCTTTAAGCGATTCAAAGGTGGCATTTTTTAAAATTCTAACTTCATTCACGTCTCGGTGTGTACTGATTGTGAGTAAGTACCAGTATTTACAAAGCTTACACGTGGGATTCTTTTCATCCACCCCCGTAGGATTTGTGTTCCCAGGCTAAGTCCAAATATCTTAAACTATACATTTAATAAAACTGTAGAAGTGTAAATTCTGTATTATGAAAATATTTAAAAAATAAATAGTAGGGGGTGTTACTAGAGAGACATCGAACCCAAAAATGTGATTAAAAAATGTTTGTCTGTCTGTCTGTCTGTCTGTCGCTTACTCCAAGGTCAGATAGGAGCTTCATGCAAATTATCAATCATGAGCGTGGTGCTCGTGGTGCATTTTAGTTTGAAAAAGACGATACATAAACCAAAAGTCAACGACAACAATTTATTAAATGAAATCTTCACGTTTTGTACCTACGCTACCTGATAAATGTATAGTAAATCAAACAGTTAGTATTATTATTAAGAATATTAAGCATACATTTCTATGTATCTTGAGATCGACGACAAATTAAATCATAGAAGTACCTAGTCATGAAAGTTTAGGGCAAATAACATAGGATCTTGGATTAAAAGAAGTTGTGTGTAGAACTATTTGCTTACCGATACTTATTATACTTCCATCCCTCTCCTACCAGCCTCGGCGAACCTAACGGATGACAGGGGCTCCGGCTCGAAGTGCAGGTAGGAACGGGGTGGTTTGTAGTCTGTAAGAGTCTGACACTACCTCCCGCCTCATCCAGGCGGGAGCAGTCACTCGATGATTCTCCCCCCTTAACCCTTTAACCGCCGACAACGTAATATTACGGTTTTCGAAAGCTGTGTCCGAATCGCCACATACGTACAATCACGTTATTTTATTAAAAATCTTCTTATAGTGCACAAACTCCATATAAAATGTGTCAATTTCAAGATGTAGGGTATAATCTTTATTGTTATGGATATTTCTCAATGTTTTGAGTGATAAATACTGTGAAATTTGAGGTTTAATTAAATT